GGCCCGACCAGTGTGGGTCAGTGTATAGAGCGTCGGCCTGTGGACTGAAAGTTCCTGGATTCGATTCCGGTCAAGGGCATGTACCTTGGTTGCGGGCACATCCCCAGTAGGGGGTGTGCAAGAGACAGCTGAATCAATGTTTCTCTCTCATCGATGTTTCCAACTCTATCCCTCTTCCCTTCCTCTCTGTAAAAAATCAATAAAATAATGTTTTTAAAAAAATCAGTTTATTTAATCTTTATCTCATTTAAATAATTACTCTGTATATATAAACTATATCCTGTCTATATTATAAAACGCTGGTGGCCGTAACACTGTAACGACCACCAGGAAGTGCATTGAGCACCTCTCTGTGTCCCCACAAACCCTCTGCCCGCGAGCTGCGGCTTTCATGGCAGGCGGGGCGGGGTGTGAGCTACTAAGAGTTATGAGTGCGGAGGGCGGAGCGGCCAGCTGAGGCAAGCGGAAGCAAGCTATTCGCGCATGATTTTGTGTGCCCTGGGCCTCTAGTATATAATAAAAGCTTAATATGCAAATCCACCAAATGGCAGAATGACCGGTGGAACAACCGGTCGCTATGACACACCCTGACCACCAGGGGGCAGACGCTCTACACAGGAGTTGCCCCCAGCCCGCAGGCCCCAGTCCAGCCAAGGCTGGTGCCAGCAGGCCCGCCCCCCATCACTCGCCAGCTGGCCCCACCTCCCCAATTGCCCCGCTGGTCACCCCACATATGGGCCCTGATCACAGGCCAGGCCTAGGGACCCTACCCATACATGAATTTTGTGCACTGGGCCTCTAGTATTAGTTTAATGGTGTAAGTCAAGCATGTCAAACTTGTGGCCCATGGACCATGCAGCCCACAACAAATATTTTTGTGGCCCAGCCAATAAAATGGTATGTAAGAAACGTTTTAATCAAAATTTCGTAACAATTTTTACAATATCCTGTTAGGCATAATTATTAATAATGAACTATAACATTGGCTAATGACTGATTACTGTAATCATGTTGCATTCATTTCCCTTACGCGCTTTACGTGCAGGCGCACCATTTCTGTCCACTAATACTAGCGGCGAATATTTTAGCAGCCGATTGCCATGTCATTAGTCTTGGACTGACTTGTTTGGTGTGCACAACAGGAAATATTTCGCTTTCAGAGAACAAGAATAACAGGTTTATTTGCGTTATGCTTTTTAATTTGTGTAGTTATTCAGTGTCTGGTAAGTTAATGTTCAAGAAAAATTAATTTTTATTAAAATGTCCAATTATGTTATGTTAACATTTATTTCAGCCCTTTGTATTCAGCATGTCTCTATCGAAATAAACCTACATTTCTATGAAAATTGAGGCTTTTGTTTTTTTGCGGTCCACATAAACTTGAACCTTCTTCATTTGGCCCATGTTAGCCTTTGAGTTTGACATGCTTGGTGTAAGTAACGTGTGTGTGTGTGTGTGTGTGTGTGTGTGTGTGTGTGTTTATTTTCATGCTCATGAATTTTACTCATAGGGATATATAATCAAAATAATTTGGAGACTACTGCCCTAAACAGTTGGAAGATCCTGTTCTCAGATCAGAAGAATTTATAAGCAGAAATTTGAAACCATTCAAGACGATGATTGAAACCAGTGAGGTAATATTAGAGTATACCACATTTATGTGTTATATATAAGAAGACTCAAGATTGTAAAATATCATTTTTCTCCTAGTTACTTCCTTTCAATTAGCTCATGAATTTAATGCAATTCTAATAAAAACCCCAGTGGGATTTTTTTAATGCAACTTGACAAGATGATTTTAAAATTTATATGAAAGTA